TAGCGAGTGTTTACAACTCGCATGTCACGTCGTCGTTTGTGTGTCGCATGTGTTTTTTCTATTTTGTCGAGTGTGAAGTGTCCATCGTGTCGCAGGTGTGTGCAGCAAGCCCCCATCAACTCAAGAAGAATTTATCTTGCAGATCCAAGAACAAGAGCTCAAGATTTCAAGCCCAAGGGACGCGGATAAATATAAAATAGTGAAAATAGTAACGTTACTTCGTATAGTGTTACATTTCACTTGGTGTAGCCCCTTGGAGGGTTGGTTTCGAGACTCTTCATGGTTGGGGACTCTGTGGTGGTGTACCACCAACCTGGACCTCGGCTCTTGGGGTATGTAGAGGCTGGGAACCATCTCCCTCTCGAACTCTTCTTGCTAAGTTTGTACTCCTAAGACTATAGTGGCTGCTGTACCCCCTACCAGTCAAACCGCCATAGCGTCGTCAAATCTTCATGGAATCTTATGATTCAACTTGCTGCTGATAGGCGACAGCAACGCGCTCCAAATTCAATTTACAGATCACCGTTTGAGGCACGGTTCAGATCGCCATCAAGTTTTGAAGCTGTCTGACGGAATTCTGACTGTCCTGAATTTCTCTCATTTTAGGCACATCTGAGCCTATTGTGATTATAACAAGTGGTATCAGAGCCCCTTGGAGCAGTCTCGACCATGCCTAGACCTGAGGAAGGGGGTGGCAGAGGTGCTGGAGGCAGAGAAGACGCCCAAGCACAAGGTCAACACCAAGATCCACCCGTTGCTCCGGTGCAACCTAGCCTTGGACCCTCTAGGGATGAGCCTAGAGTATTTGGCCTTGACAAGTTCAACGGTGACAACTTTGCTGAGTGGTCCTTCAAGATGGAGAATATCTTTGACCACTATGATCTGCTGGAGGTGATGGAAGGAACGGAGAAGCGCCCCGAGAACGACCCGGAGAAGAGCCCGTGGGTGCGGAAGAGCGCACAAGGCTACCTTCTACTTGGGCAAGCGTTGGGGAGCAGCCAAATCCGTCACATCAAGCCTTTTCAGCGTGAACCAGCAAAGGGACCAAAGGCATGGGCTGCTCTCAAGGGTGTACACGCTCCTGCAACAGCGGCGGTGGCTGTGGTTTTGGAGCGGCAAATGGCGGCACTTCGAATTGACGAAGGCGAACCGGTGGAGGAAGGAGTGCAGAAATTCTTCGACTTGTTGACACGGCTCGAAGGAGCTGACCTGAACTACAGTGACCTTCAAAAGAAGACCAAGCTGCTGGCCTTACTTCCGGACTCATGGTCCTCGCTCATCATCAACCTTAATCGAGATCTGCCCCGTCTCTCACTCGAAGATGTGAAGCGGGAAATCTTACAAGAAGATTTCCGCCGTCGCGAATTGTCGGGTCCCGATGGTGCCGGAGTTGCAAGCATGGGCCGTGGGCACGGCCGTGGAAGGGGCAGAGGGCGAGGAGGAAGATTTGGCAGCAGTAACTTCAATGGAGGCCGTGGTAATGGAGGATATGGCAGCAACAACAACAATGGCTACGGGCGTGGGCGCGGACGATTTGATGGCGAATGCAACTTTTGCCACAAGACCGGCCACATGTGGAGAGATTGCTTCAGATTGCCTGATGGATGGACCCCTTCTCAAGGCCAAGAGGGCAGAGGAGCAAGGGGAGGAAGAGGCAGAGGTCGTGGAGGCCGTGGTGGTCGTGGAAGCGAAGCGGCAAGCATGAAAGGTGGAGACTACGACAAGGACTCGAGTGAAGATCGATACCCGGGCCAATTCTTCTTTGTCTCCACGCAAGCGGCAGCTGCAGCAGGAGGTGTGGAAGGCTTTGAGGAGCCAGCTACTGTGGGAAAGGTCACCCTTCACTCTCTGGACTTTTGGGTGATCGATAGCGGCGCCACCTATAGCATGACACCTTGTGCGGACTTGCTCACCGAACTCGAACCGTCGCCGGTCAAGCATGTTACATCGGCTTTGGGGCAGCGAGCAGAGGTGAAAGGCATGGGCAAGGCCATGTTCAAGGGTGCTGATGGGAAGATGGTGGGCCTCAAGAACGTGCTTTGGGTGCCCAACCTAGCAGCCAACCTGATCTCTGATCGGCGTTTGCAAAAGGCCGGCATGGACACATCTTCCAAGGGTTCCAAAACCTATACCGCGAGGCTTGGTGAGCGGAAGCTTTGGGACCTTCATGAGGACAGGGACATCTACAATGAGATGTGGCAAATCCCAGTGGTCCCCATGCCTAAGGAGAGGCAAGTGGCAGCAAGCGTCAGCACCAAGAGTGAAGCGGTTGGTGGCGGTGATCACGGAAAACAAAGTGACACCAAGAGTGACTCGAAGGAGTGCAACCTTGGAGAGACCAGCAAGGCGTGTGAACCCAAGGAGAGTGGTGCAGCAGCCAAAGGTGGTGGAAATGAGGAGGATAAGCCTAAGATCCGCAAAGCAGCAGCGACAAAGGAGAAAGGAGAGAGCTTGTGGGGCACGATTGCGAGTGCCGCTTTCTCCAACCCGACTTCCGCTACGGGAGAGTGTGATTGGCTGATCTTGCATCGGCGAATGGGGCATGTGGGATTGCCCATTTTGCAGCAGATAGTTAAGCAAGAGATGGTCAGTGGGATACGTGTCAAGGAGGAGCCCAATGAGGTGCTTGGCTGTCCAACATGCATGCAAGCCAAGTTCACCCGCTACCCGTTCCATAGCTCGGAGACAACGGCGAAGGCACCACTTGATGAGGTGGTGATGGATGTGGTGGGCCCCTTGAAGCTTGGAGCTGCTTGAGCAGAGTAATTCCTCACCATTGTGGATGTCTACACTCGCATGACCTGGGTGTATGTGCTGCCCAAGAAGAGTGACGTAGCTGAAACGGTGAAGACCGATTGGTTGCCGATGGTGGAGCGGCAACAAGACCGACTTGTGAAGGCAATTCGCACTGACCGTGGGGGAGAGTTCCTGAGCAAGGATTTCTCAACTTGGCTGAAGAAGCAGGGCATAAGGCACTCTCTTACCATGCCCTATTCTCCTGCAATGAACGGTATCGCCGAGCGTGCGAATTGGACACTCACGGAGACGGCTCGAGGACTTCTCATTGAAGCCGGTCTACCCAATTACTTTTGGCTGGATGCGGTGCGTCATGCTTGTGTGGCCAAGAACAGAGCCTTGACTCACGTGGGAGAAGACAAATGGGTGCCCTATGTGGAGTGGATTGGAAGGAAGCCGAAGGTGGATATGCTTCGGGTGTTCGGGTGCATGTGCATGGCACTTGTGCCTAAGAAACTTCGGCACAACAAACTTGATGCCAAGGCAACATGGGCCGTGCACCTGGGCATGGCTCAAAACAGCAAGGGATGGCTTCTTTGGGACCCATTTACCAAGAAGTTCTTGGTGAGCAGAGATTGCAAGTTCATGGAGAACTTATCGTACAAGGAGTGGAAGGCGGAGAACCAAGCGAAGATTGGTGTGCGGCTTGGAGAGGTGAAGAGTAACGGCTTGGAGCATGTGGAGCTGCCCTTGGAGCTGAGTAGCAGCAGCACAGTCACGAGGCAATCTCCTCAAATGAACGGGGATGAGGAGGAGGAGGAGGTGCAGCAAGGTGATGAGCGTGCTACAAGCCCCCCAATCACTTCCGCCTCGTGCTACAAGTGCTCGTGGGAACCGAGCAGATTTACCGCAACGCCATGAGAGCATTCAAGTCCCTGCAGCAGAGGAGGAAGGAAGGGGGAGAAGGAAGACTCAGCCCCCCAATAGGTTGAGCTATGACCGGCTTGGAGGACTAGTCAACTCAAGCTTGACCGGTTCGGCTCTCATGCTAGGCGATGATGCGGAAGATGAAAGCGAGGAGTGCGCCTTTGCCTTCTTCTCTCCGGTGGAGATGCCAGGGGAGCCTACAAATCCCAAGGAGGCTTGGGAGGGCCCTAATGGGAAGGAGTGGAAGAAGGCCTCAGATGAAGAAATGGGGAGCATCATCGAGAACGACACGTTTGACTTGGTGAACCTACCTCCGGGGCGGAAGGCGATCTCTTCCAAATGGCTCTTCAAGCGCAAGACCGACGCCGACGGCAACATCGAGCGCTACAAGAGCAGACTTGTAGCCAAGGGGTATCAGCAGCAAGAGAAGAAGGACTACAATGAAGTATATGCCCCTGTGGTTAAGGGTACAACCCTTCGAACTCTCTTTGCCGCGGCGGCCATCAAAGGATGGGTGGTTAAGCAAATGGATATTGTAACGGCCTTATTCAACGGAGTTTTGGAGGAAGAGACTTACATGGAGCAGCCACAGGGGTACAACGATGGGAGTGGCAGAGTGTGGAAGCTGAAGAAAGCACTCTATGTCCTCAAGCAAGCCCCTAGGCAATGGTACATCAAGCTGCGGGAAGTCTTGGAGGCGATCGGCTTCACTCCCTCAACGGCCGATCAATCCTTGTTCATGCTTGGCGAGGGGGAGCAGAGGAGCTTCATGGTGGTTTATGTGGATGACATCCTCATATTCTCACCCTCCTCTGACCTTGTGAAGGAGGTGATGCTGAAGCTTCAAGACAAGTTCAAGTGCAAGACCCTTGGTGACGTCAACTACTACCTTGGGCTTCACATTGAGCGAGATGTGGAGAAGCGGTGGATGCGAGTGCATCAAAAGAAGTACTTGGAGGCCTTGGCTGCCAACTTTGGGAAGATTGAAGGTCATGTGGCTACTCCTCTTCCCTCAGGGTTCAAGTGTGTGAAAGGACCAGCGGAGGAAAGTGTTGGTGAAGAGGTGAGGCGCCGTTTTCACTCCTTGGTGGGCAGCCTCATGTATGCGGCCGTTCACACAAGGCCGGATGCAGCCTTTGCTACCGGGCAGCTGGCTAGGGTTGTCCAATGCCCTAATGAAGAGCAGGTAGCTGCTGGAGAGAGGGTGGCCAAGTACCTTGGCCAAACAGCAACTGTTGGACTGCAATACTCCGCGGCGGCACAAAGGCGTCAAAAGGGTGCGGATGGAGTCGAACCCGGGAGGCTCTATCTCACCGCCTTCTCTGATGCATCTTGGGCATCAGAACCAGAGGACATGACAAGTGTGGGAGGCTTCATCTGCTGTATTGGTGGAGGGCCAACAGCTTGGGAGAGCAAGAAGCAAGTGGACCAAGCATTGAGCTCGGTGGAGTCCGAGTACATGGCACTCTTCCGTGCCATAAGGGAGGTTGTGTGGCAGCGGCGTTTGCTAGCTGAATTGGGGGAGGAGCAGCAAGGACCTACCCCACTCTACTGTGATAGCCAAGGTGCTATTTCATTGGCTAAGAACCCCGTTCTTCATGGCCTTACCAAGCACATGAAGGTGAAGTGGCATTGGGTGAGGAGCATGGTACCCGCGGGTAAAGTGGAGTTGCACTACGTGAAGACGACGGCGCAGCCAGCTGATATGATGACCAAGAGGCTGATTGAGCAGCAGCATTGGCAGTGTTGCAAGCTTGCTGGGATGGCTCTGAACTAAGAGGAACAGATTCGAAGGCCAACAATCCGAGGGGGAGTTTGTTGGTGCAATCCTATGGCTTACGCTCGGCTTGTCGTCCTTGTTTGTGTGTGTGCATGCATGGCATGGAATGAATTGTGAGTCTCTGTCATTGCTATGCAGTGCTTTTGTGTATGTTTGAATGGTGTATCACAATGTGGTTTGTGTCGGTCAAGACATTAGCGAGTTTCTACAACTCGCATGTCAAGTCGTCGTTTGTGTGTCGCATGTGTTTTTTCTATTTTGTCGAGTGTGAAGTGTCCATCGTGTCGCAGGGGTGTGCAGCAAGCCCCCATCAACTCAAGAAGAATTTATCTTGCAGATCCAAGAACAAGAGCTCAAGATTTCAAGCCCAAGGGACGCGGATAAATATTAAATAGTGAGAATAGTAACGTTACTTCGTGTAGTGTTACATTTCACTTGGTGTAGCCCCTTGGAGGGTTGGTTTCGAGACTCTTCATGGTTGGGGATGATGGAAATCGTGCAAATCTGGAGAGAACTAATTAGAGATTAAGTCTGACGACCTCAACGAATCATTGCGTGCTGCTCAGGTAACTTCTAGAAATGAGCTTATACGCGTTGGAAAGGTCTTAATCTCTACTTTCCAGAATGGTAAAGCACGTTCATAACCAAGATCTGAGCCGCCGATTATGACGAAATCAGTGTGAGGGGGTCTTCTGGTAATTTGGCTAGGCAGCCATGAATCACCTAGTAAAAACGAGAAGGGAAGCAGTTCGATCTGGAAAAGTTGCAGTATTTGATGATCAAACAACACCAACCCTCGCCCTGAACCAAACCCTAACACTCCCAAGTGCCACAGCTGCAACATCAAAGATGTTGTAGTGGGTATGGGGTAGTATGGGTTGGAAAGGTAACGGGATCAAACCTAGCCAACCAACCCAATTCTTTTGCCCAAATCCCAATAGCCCACAGCCAGCTAGAGCAAATCACACCACAGAACACTACACATTTATCAGGGGACTCTGTGGTGGTGTACCACCAACCTGGACCTCGGCTCTTGGGGTATGTAGAGGCTGGGAACCATCTCCCTCTCGAACTCTTCTTGCTAAGTTTGTACTCCTAAGACTATAGTGGCTGCTTTATCTCTTGCCAGTCAAACTGCCATAGCGTCGTCAAATCTTCATGGAATTTCATGATTCAACTTGCTGCTGATAGACGACAGCAAGACGCTGCAGATCTTGTTTACAGATCACCGTTTCATTTAGCGACCAAATCGTTATCGATATTTGAAGCCGTCTGACGGAAATCCGACGTTGCTCTCTATCTCTCTATCTAAGCCTATTGTGATTATAACAGGTGTCGGTGGCCTACACGGCGGCGAATGGAAGGCGAAGTCAGCAGTGGCGATGAGGGCAGAAGCAATGGTGGGGATGGGGGTTTAGGCCGCACGGCCCGCAAGCGGCGTCGGCGCAGACCGGCGTTGACAGTTCGGCGCTGCCCGGGATGTCCCTTGCCCTCGTGCCCGTCGCCGGGGCACCACAGAGCTTTGCCCTTGGCTCCATCAATGCCGACAACGAGTGGGATGGCACATGGCACCGGGATTTTAGCATGGACGACAAGGGGTGGGAGAGGAACCGGATTCCGGACCCCGCTGTAGGGGGGAAGGGCGGACAGCGTGACAATGACCCGGATTATGGCCCGGGAGAGGAGGAGATGGAGGCATGCGAGTCCGGGGACGATGGCCCACGCCCTGGAAAAAAGGGGGGTGGGAAGAAGAGCGGGAAGGGTGGCGGAGGGGGGCGTGGGAAAGGGGCGGGTGCTGACCTAGGGGCCATGGACGCAGGCGCTGCTGCTGGTGTGGGGGAGGATAGCGAGGAGCCTGGAGTGGCAGGGGGTGTGGGGGGGGCAGCAGAGGCCATGGAGACAAGGGCCGGGCAGGGTGCGAGCGGTGGAGAAAGGGGCAAGCAAGGGGCCAAGCGTAGTAAGGGGAAGGGAAAAGCACGGTCTGGGTCTGGGGGGGGACTGGGGGGGCTGGTGCGGGGCACCCTAAGTGTGGTAGAGAGGGGGAGGTGGAGGAGGAGGAGGAGGGCATCGGGGGCAGGATCCCGGGCCTCATGCAGGGTATGTTCGACGTGACCAACGACCCTCTTAAGCATGCATGTAGGTGCTGCGAGCAGACGGTTTACTAGGCAAGCAGCTGCACTGGCAGCGCCTGGAAGCATGCCCGCCTTTATCACCACCCCCACCTCCAGATCTGGCACCGTCTGTACCCAGACCCCAAGAAGCAGCCGGGTTTGGAGTTCCCCCTCAAGGGGTATCCGAACGTGCCACATCAGCGGGAGGCCTGGCCGCATGCTGACAGCTGGCCGCGGCTTCCTGCGGGTCCGGCGCCGGCGCAGGCGGATGCTGGAGCGGGGCAGCTGAACTTACACAAGTTCATGGCACCTCGACTGTCCTTGCAGCGACTGCGACAGGCGCTCGTCGAGCTGTTTGCTGACGCCGACCTGGCGTATCGTCTCGTCGATCGTCCATCGGTGAGCCCTCGCATACTCTACTTGTGAATTTCAAATTCCATTTTTGAGTGGAGTGTAGACTTGTCACATCCATGATATCAATCCGCCAAAAGCCTCATACTGCCTAGCTGCCACCAATTTCTCCGCCCATCCCTCTTCCATGTCCAGCGGTTCTGCTCGCTGCTGAACCCACAAGATGCGAACATGCTCGGCAGCCGGTTTCGGCTGGCACGTGACATGTTGACGCACGGGAATGCTGCACGCGAATGGCTGCAGCAAGAGGTGGCCGGTGGCGGGGCAGCAGGGAAGGTTTCCTTCACCACTGACATTTGGACCAGCCCCAGCAAGCAAGCCTTCATGACCGTCATGGGCCACTACATCACATCAGACTTCAGGCTGCGGCAGGTGACTTTCGAGTTCAAGCAGCTCCATGGGTCGCACACGGGAGACCTCGTTGCGGACGTGTTCGAGAAGGTCCTCATCGAATGGGGATTGCTGTCTGAAGTGTTTGGCGTGATGACGGACAACGCCGAGAAGAACGTCAAAGCTTTCAAGATCCTGGCCGGCGACAAGACGTACCCCACTGCCTGCACCGCTAACCCAATCTTGATGAAGGACATGCACTTCAGGTATGCCACTTGAAACATTGTTTTTGCATGTGCTCAAAGAGCTGCCCCTCATGTCCCAAGGGAACCAACAAGATAGGATGACTACAGTCCCCTCAATTCTCCCCCCGCCCAACACCTCTTGCCCCCCCCCCACACTCCATCCACCCTGGCCTGCAAGGTGCCTTGCGCACATTTTGAACCTGGCTGTTCAAAAGGCACTGGGAGTAGGGGCGGTCGTTGAGCCGTTGAAGCGTCTCAGAGACCTGGCTACGCATCTCGGGTGGTCTATCACACGTTCTAAGTGCTTTGAGGAGGACCAGCGTAGAGTGGCAGAGGTCCCGGGGGGGGGGGGACCTTGCGACTCATGACGGACATGCCCATACGCTGGGGCTCCTCCTATGAGATGCTCAGGCGCGCGATTGACCTGAAGACGGCCCTCACGCTCTACCTGTCCCATCCTGAGGTGAGCGCGACAAGGCATGGCACATGGCCCATGGCATGGCACATGATATGGCATGGCATGGCACATGGCATGGCACATGGCATGGCATGTGGCATGGCACATGGCATGGCATGGCACATGGCATGGCATGGCCTTGCACATGGTGCATGGCCACATGGTGCCCCTAAACCCGAAACCACTGCTCCCCTCCTCAACTATTTCTACACCCTTCCCATTGTCGTGCCTGCTGTCTTCATCAGCCTGGTACCTCCAAACAGGTGCCCAACAGTAATGGCAGGTTCCACCTGAGGGACGACCACTGGGAGACGCTGCTGGAGGTAGCGGCTTTCATCAAGCCGTTCCACTCCCTTACCACGACGGCTGAGGGGTCGCTGTACCCCACAGCCACGGCGGTTGTTCCCCAGTACAACCGCCTAATCGACAACCTCGAGACAATGTTGATGGAAATCGTGCAAATCTGGAGAGAACTAATTAGAGATTAAGTTTGACGATCTCAACAGAACATTGCGTGCAGCTCAAGTAACTTCTAGAAATGAGCTTATACGCGTTGGAAAGGTCTTAATCTCTACTTTCCAGAATGGTAAAGCACGTTCATAACCAAGATCTGAGCCGCCAATTATGACGAAATCAGTGTGAGGGGATATTCTGGTAATTTGGCTAGGCAGCCATGAATCACCTAGTAAAAACGAGAAGGGAAGCAGTTCGATCTGGAAAAAGTCCGAGTATTTGATTGTCAAACAACACCAACCCTTGCCCTGAACCAAACCCTAACACTCCCAAGTGCCACAACTGCAACATCAAAGTGTTGTAGTGGGTATGGGGTAGTATGGGTTGGAAAGGTAACGAGATCAAACCTAGCCAACCAACCCAATTCTTTTGCCCAAATCCCAATAGCCCACAGCCAGCTAGAGCAAATCACACCACAGAACACTACACATTTATCAAATGTACCACAGCAGGACGACTACCCATGTGATGAGGGACATGGCATGGGAGGCGCTGGAGGTCCTGAAGAAGTACGAGTACGGGGTGGCGAAGGAGCTCGCGGTGGCTACCATGCTAGACCCCCGCTATAAGCACTACTTCAGGCTTCCACGGTGGGAGGTGGTGAACAAGGATCTGGCCACCGACACAACAGGCACTACTAGAGCGGTGCCGGTGCTGGACGAGGCAAGTGTCGCAACGCTGGTTCGGAAGCGGCTCGAGAAGTACCTGTCTAACCAGCAGGGCTCCGGGGAGACGGCGGGGACCGAGGAGACCAGTACGGCTACTGTAGGGAAGGGGGACAGCGGCGCGGCGGGTGAGGGTGGGGGGTCGGCGGGGGCGGAGGGGGATGATTTGGCGGATGAGCTATTCGCCACCATGGACGCGCAGGCGGCAGCAGCGGGGGTAAAGCCACCAGATGAGGTTGAGAGGTACCTTGGGGAGGAGAGGCTTAAGGCGGGTTGCCCCCTTAGGTTCTGGCAAAGCAGGGTAGACTTGCCAGGCCTTCGGGCCATGGCTCGCGACTACCTGGCAATCCCAGCCACATCTGCTGCCAGCGAGAGAGCGTTCAGTCTGGGGAGGAACGTTGTGTCCTGGTAGCACCACCGGTTGAGCGCCGCCCAGGTGCGTGCATCCATGACCATCAAGTCATGGATGTCAGAGCACCAGGGCGCGCAGCTCCTGGGGCCGGTAGCTGCGCAGGCACTGAAGGAGCCGTGCATCGAGGGTGAGGATTTTGGACTGTGATAACACTTTTGGTTGAGTGGGAAGATAGTGGTTCGATGGTCGTGGCCGGTGGTTGAGTTGCGCCTTGGCTATGTGGGTTACCGTGCATCCCGTAACTTGCATCCTCCACCTAATTTTTTATTGTGCACTAC